TGTGATGCATTGCTTTCTTCAAAGGCAGCAGTAAAATTCCTTGACGTGGGCTCGCAGGGGACCTTGCGGCACCCGGTACTGTCCCAGCAAACGAATCCAGCAAATGGAGCCATTCATTAGTACAAGACTTATTTTAAAAGCTTTCATGTCATCTTCTAGTGGTACAAACGTGTAGAGGAGAAATGTCACAGTTGCCTGAACTTGGCAACTTGAGCACCCCCGGTGACATAAGATGTGAGGCAGCTATATCCCAAAGCTGAAGGAGAGGAGGGGGGGGGGGGGGAGGGGAGGGGGCAGTGGGAGGCCTGCTAATCCTCAGTTAGAAGGAGGTATTCAGGCATAAAGGACTATATAAGTCATTTTGTGTAATTGTACTGTGCTTGATGGTTTCATTGCTGTAATTTTTTTTGCCAGCAGCATCAAATGGTTTAAAGAGGCTCAGAAACTATTTCTGACATAAAGTGAGATGCAGAAAGCTGTAGAATACTTTCAGCATACTTCTAGCACAATAACGTTCACTGTAATAAAAATACCATCTAAAGAGGTTATTGAAAACAATCAACCAGGAACCCTTCTAACTAAATAGTACGACAGTAACTTTTATACATATAGTTATATACCTGTAGAGTATTGCGTAATAAATCCTTCGTGACTAGAAGCTTGGTGCGGTTACAACGATCTGTGGTTTTGGGGCAGAACTGCAGGCACAGTTCATAAGGTTGATCTTGGTTTCATGCTTGTTTGGCTGGTTATTCTCAGTATTTTAGAAGAATGAGGTAGAGGAAGAGGGAAGAACTCGGGGTGGCAGAATGTGATTCCAGCTAAAATATGGCCAGGACACCAGACTTTATTGTGTTATAAAGAAATTAGGAAGGTATAAAGTCAATAGAAAGGGGAAGTATTACAGACGCATGTTCAAGACAAAGCTTATTTCTATGCTTGAGTCACCTTTCCATCCTCCCTCCTGTTGTGAAACATTTAGAAAATACTGCAACTATTTAAAGAAAAAAGTCTACACAAACAGTTCAAGACCTGTACTTTTAAGTTAACCAGTACAACAAAGCCAGGAGGGCAAAGGACTGGTACTCAAAAGAAAAAAAAAAAAAATCAAGGATCTGGCCTTAGGACCGTGAGCATCCTAGGAAGCCGTTTCCAGGAGCAGGAAGCAGAACCCATGCTTCACCATGCCATAGCCATTGGTGGCGTGATCCTGGCTGCTTCATTTAGCCAGAAGAAACGAGATTGTGGCAAGTTAAGACAGGTCATAGATTTTGATGCTCTGGCCTATCTATTTACATGAGACCAACTGAATGGCTGTGCTTTGGAGACCATTAATCTCTGTTTTCATCTGTGTCGCGTGATCCAGTCTCCTTGCGTTTATAACGACCACGTGCATGTCAAGCTTCTACTTAAAAGCAGGCTCCAGCACAATTTATAGGTTTTTTTTTTTCTTTTTCTCCTAGGGGTACTACAATAAAGTCAAGCACACCTATTTTATCAAATAAGAGGTTATTCTCTCCCCCCTTCAGATGAAGGAGATCAAGAGGGAGATAGAGAAGTAGTTGTCAGGCTGTTTTTTCTTCTTCAAACCCTGTCTCTCAAACTTATGCACCTAGATTTCAGAACTGGTACATCATGAAATGAGTCTGGAGTAAGTCCATTTGTAACAAGAGACTTTTATACACATATACATTTTGTGATGTGACTTTAACCTCCAAAACCATAGTCTAATAACAAAGGAAGGGGTGTGTGTGTGTGTTTTTAATCGATTTAAAACACAAAAGATTTTCTTGGACTCTCCACGCTGATGGTGCTCAGGGCATTTTTCGTATTCAATATAAACATCAGCAACAGATTCCCGGTATCAGTTTTGTCATTTGTTTATTTTAACATAACTAGCTCCTAGTGTTTGCTCTAAACCTTTAATACTGCCTACTTACACATTCTTGTTTTAATAAATTAGACTCAATTAGTAGTTACTCACTAACAGAGACATAACCCCAATTATCTCCCCTTCCCCGGTCACTGACTGTTGAGTTAAGTGAACAGAATAAGAGAAGTGACTGTCATTTCATTTTCAAGATAGCAGCGTAGCAAAAGCCAGGGCGAGGGGCCGGTTAGCCCGCACCGCATGGGCCTGGCTGTGGCCAGCAGGCTCTTGCCTGAGCAAGAGTCCCCGCATCCCCATTTTGCAGGAAGCAGATGTGATTTTTGGACTCTAAGATATAGGGCCCTCTAGGGGAGATGGGTGATAATTCACTGGAAAATGTTTAAGCTCTACCAGTGTTGGAGAAAATGCCTGCCCACAGACCACCCTATCTCAAAACTCGAGCATATTACAGCACAGATCTTCATCCATCCCTGTAAAGCATCAGCTGGCTGTGTCTCAATGGAATGAAAGATGAGGAAAATAGGGAAACTACAGAGGATTTGTTATGGTGTGGTTGCCCAAGGTTAGTTTTCGCATTTTTATCTTTCCAAAGAGGTGGAGTTACTTTCCGGCAAATTCTCTGCCCTTCAGGGCGAAGCAAGGCTTGTACAGCTTTCACTCCATCGTGAGCATTGCCAGATACAAATATTGGAATTTCAGGACAAATTAGGCAAAAATATGCTTAGACTTACACCTGCAAGCTGACTATTGCTCTGAAGCTTATGTAAACACTGGAAAAACCGCTAAAGACTATTCCAAGAGAAATAATGAATCCAAGTCCATAGACCCTGTCTGCTTTCTCTTGTATCTGAGCATGTTTGCACACCACCTGTTTGCACCGAGTTCTCCTTAAGAAATTCATTGCAGAGATGTTTAGCAAAAGCACATAGAAATCAGAAATCTTACCTCTTTAGCAGCTTTTGTTCATGACCTAGCACACATGATGCACATTCAAAGCTACCTAAATTACCCGGATAACTGGAAGGAAATAAAACATTGCCAGTAGCATGCTCCTGTTACCGAGACAGATGCTGAATTCTGATTCAAAGCCTGACCTTTGGGCTTGTCAGACAGTGCTCTGCAGAGAATGCTTTCTGAGAACATTACTAAAAAGGAAGAGCAGCTTAAAAGAAGATAATTTAGACATACTAAAATGAAGGCATCTGGGGAAGGGTAACAACCTGTGTGGGAGCTGTGTGCTGATAAACTGGACTCCATCAAACCTGAGAACCTGATGCTTCAGGCAGCAGCTGCAGAGGCTCCAAAACATACTGACGGAGGACCTGCTTAGGGTGGGCTGTTGGAGTACAGTTTTTCTGCATGCTTCTGCAATGCCAAATAGCAAAATAAGTTTTAGAATAATATTAAACCTAGCATTATTTACCATATCATATTCCATCAGTGCCTCACAAGCTGACGTTTGCACCACTGATTTTATTTAGTATAAAAATGGAACTAAATTTAATCCAAATAATTTGACCTTGTCAACAAAGCAATACTATTCAATGCGAGAGTTTTGCTCACTGCTCCCCTAGGTGGCAGCAAGTATGTGCAAGCGAGAGCCAAGCGAGACGTTGCTGCAGCGAAGGCTGAACCTGCTAATTCCAAACTGAAATCGGTGGACTATGGAGTTTCAGATTGCAGAGCTGCAAGGCAAATACAGTTTACTTTGTGACAATTCAAAGCCTCCACTTACCAAACATCCATGACTTCTCAGATTTCAGGAAAGGAGAGCCATTTTCAAAGTTTGAGACTCTTAACCATTTCTGCCTTCAATGTCAGTCTATTAAACTTGTGGCTACTTGTAATTATCACAGACAATGTATATTAGCAAGATGAACACAAAGATTTTATATTGTATCTAGTTCTGAGGAACATTTGACCCAGGATTTGGGGATTCCTAGCTAGCTAGCGGATGTCTGCTTTTTTTTTTTTTTTTTTTTTAAATACAGATTATAAATGTTTCACTGAATTCAGATCAGGGTCCTGCAGATCCTCCAGCTACCTTCCCTGAAGCTGTGTAACCTTCAGAGAAATAAACTTATGATCCAGATTTGTTAAGCTGGAGAGGTTGCTATTCAGTGCAGATTTAGTTTGTATTATTCCATAAAAAATAAAGCACGGTGAGGTTGTGCAACTTCACATCAGGGTGACTTGTTTGAAATCTTTCTCTTGCAGGATGCCAAACCCTGGGAGGTACAGGGTAAAGGAAACGCTACTGTGTGTAAGATGAAGGAATTCCAATTAAGGAAGGTATTTTAACACTTTCAGTGACAGCGGACAGCTTGGATATTTAGTTGTGAAGCAAGTTCAAATTCTGCTGCAGGTTTTAAAGGCCAGGTTTGCTGATGTGTCTGATCTTACTGCAACTCGGCAGCCAGGTCGGCCAGCCCTGTGAAGCCGGGATGACTCACATCAATGACTTGTTTTCTATTACATTCAAAAGATAAGACTTTCCATTTCCTCAAAATGCATTTTCACTGACGTATGTCCATCATATTCCATTTTAGCCTTAGGTCTGCAAGAACTGCCAAATGACAAAAGATGCTAGAAAACAAATGTTTGATCTTAGAGCAAGGCTGAGATAGAGTATCACATCCATCCCGTGCACCGCGACAGAAGCCTGAGGCTGCAAACTGAGCTGCTTTTCATCTACTTCACTAAACAGTTTGCTGCAAAACCCTAGCTGGATACAAATGCCAAAAGGAAGAGTGTTCTAGTGAAACCTGTATTTAAAAAAAACAAAACAAATACACACAACACACCCAACAGCAACAAAAAAACCAGGCACAGCTAAAATCAACCACTCAGTTTGAAATGAGGATGTTCACATACTCCCTTAACCTAAAATAACTAAAGGTCCAAATTAAATAGACCTAAGTATTCTGGTTGCTATTTCTGTGCAACAACCCTCTATTTTCAAAGCTAGGAGGGCTAGATGCTGTAGGTTTCCACACCTCTACAATCTCCTATTATTCACTAACACTGCTTGCCTACAGGCCTGCTGTTCCCCATTGGCTGAGCAGAAGAAATATTAAAAAGAGATCACAGAACACAATTAAAAACAGGCTTTGGATGTTACATCTTTATTATATAGTTTATAATTACCATTAGGATAATGGAGGCACAGTCTTAACAGAATAGGAAGTGTGAAACTGCATGTTTATGTAAAGAAATGTAACAGCACTAAACATTAGCTTGCCATAATAGCATTCACTTCTCTCTCCTTCCTCCATAAGGAATCAAAACCAGAAAACTTACAAATTTAAAATATTTGGTTGGAACTTCCATTTTGAGCAAGGAAATAAACACTATTTGCACTGTAAATAAATAAAATGGCTTGCTTGCTCCCATTGTGTTTTGCAAGTTTCACATTCTTTTTTGTATAAAATTAAGTGCCTACTCTTTTAAAAGGTTATTAATAAAGATTCAAAAAGTGATTTTTAAAGCCTTGAGCATATGTACTGTTTCATTTTTAAATAAAGCACAGTTTTTATAAATAGCTAGTCATAGAAAACAACAACATAGACAAACTAGTAATACATAATTTCATTTGTAACTGTGTATTTCCAAGTGACATTTTAAACTCCTGATTTCAAGTTGCCTCCAACAGGATTAAAATATTTACATATTAAAACATTTACATTTGGGAAAACATTTGCCTCTCACATTATTTCACTTGCATTGTACATTCAGACTGAAAAAAATATTTTGGTTCTTCAACTTAAAGCACCTTATAAACTATTTCAATCACAAGATAAACATTCTGTAAGTCAATATTACACATTTACTGGGGGACAGGGGATGACAACCTGTTTTCAAAGATCTGGACTCGGGTTTCCTTGATCAGCTATACAATACTGAATACTTAAATGCACTGTGTATGAATTCAAGTTCAAAGACATTTTCAGACACCTAAGAGGAAAACGGGATTGGAAGGGACTGCCTGGGACAGCAAATCCTGGCAACTGCTGCTCACAGGCGTCCCTTCACACCATCCTCTTCTAGGGAATTAACTTGACAGCAGTTCTGTTTCCACCGATACAGTTTCTAATGGAAGCCGTCTCAGAGCCTCACAGCTGTTTTAGTTAAAAAGCTTCATCACAATTAAAGCCTAAAGTTAGCACTGCCATCCATTCATTCTTGGGCTAACACTGGTCGTTATCTTATTTCTTCCGAGTTTGCTCCTCTGACTAAATTTACAAGTAGCTATCCTGTGCCCTCTCGGCCACCCGTTGCATTCCTCCTTATTTCCTCCCTCCGTGATCATCTCCGCACCTGTCTGAAGTATCTCAGTTTTGAAAAGCAGTCTTATTTTGCTGTAACTGGATCAAATGCTGGGTTTCATATTAAGAGGAAACAGATAGCTCCTTAGAAAGGAGCTTCTGCATTGGGAAAAAGTTGGAGATACAGCCAGCACTCCTACTGTAAGCATCCAACCTACATACAACTTAGGCTTCTAGCTTTAAGTGCTATAAAAATATATATGGGAAGAATTAAATAAGTTCTTCTCACCGTTCCAGGTACCAACCAGGAATTTAACCCTAAATTACTAACTCTGTTTCCTGCAGTAAGACCTTGAAGTCGTTTACATGCCATACGTATCATAACCATGGGTTGGACCAGCACCTGCAATAGGGATACTCTCATCCGTAAACATGTTAGTATCTGCCTTACATCTTCACTGTGTAATTAAGACAGCCAGTTGTCAGCACAATCCAGATTAAAATGCAGAAGACTTCCTGCTTCATCTGCAGCACCTTGCCAAGAACAACACAGAGAACAAGCGTGGATAAACAAGCAAGCTGAAATCTTTTGGAAGCAGTTTACACAGTCCTGAAGCACTAAAAGTTGTTTGATAATATTCTGTTGGTTTCTAGGTAGTTATCTTTTTGCAGGAAACAGCTTTGTTGTCAATCATTGAGAGCATCACCTTATGGAATGGCTTTGCAGTAGCGTATCTCAGCATTTCTTAACACTGCAATAGATACATGCAGCTATAATCAAAAGATAAAAAAGTATATTCACTTAACAATATTAAGTACCTAAACTGCCACAGAAATGCATTGTTTCTTAACAATGCAACAATTACAAGTTATACGTTATTCTCCTCATTGGAATATGACAAGCCTATGACAAGTTAGTATGATTTACTAACAATATATTCCACAGCACAACTCTTCTGTCTTCAGATACTGTATTCTCCCTGGTAGCTCTCAAACAAAATGTAAAAGCTATTTATGACTTTTTTGCATATGTGATCTATGCATTGACATCAGTCTTCAAGCTAAAACACAGAACATTCCAGAGATCTCTTCATCTTACTCTGAACTAGATACTTCTCAAACACAAACAGGAGTTACCTGTTCATACCATGGATGATACTTCATGATGTAGTTCAACATTATTAAACCTAGTAACTGCTTTAGACTGTCACAGCAATGGATTTAAAGGACAAGGTTTCCAAAGTAACAAATAGGTAGCTACAGGGTGATGAACACCAACTTTGTTTCTCATTGAGAATATTTTTAATCATCATGATTTATCGATCAAAACCCACGTTTTGAGAATTCGGCTCTGTAGCAAATGAAGTCAGGCTTATTTCACAAAGTCTGGATCTGAGCATCCCAAACTACGGAGGTTTAGATCTATGGGGTGGATTCTGGACCACTCCTGGTATATGGACACTTAACATATCTTTACAAGCAACTGACATTGGTGTTATATCTAAGAGATATAACAGATTCTTTGATGATGTCAGATACCTACAGATACTCAACTGTGGAGACTCCAAAGGTAGCTTGTGTGACCCCAGTCCAAACCAATTTGATTCATTTAAGGAGTGCTTTTAAATTCTGGCAGTGGGTGCTAACTACTTTAAACATTGATACCTTTCAAAAACCCAAATATTTCAGCTAATAGCCTATCACATTCATATCATAGTCAGATGCTGCAAGAGTTTTTGGCTTCGGAGAGACCGCGAAAGAGCAGATCTCCCCATTCAACCTTCAAGCAGACAATTGCAGCAGCAGGAGTGTATGGGGGCATGGGTACATATTGCTAAATGGGGATATGACGTTAGGAAGCAAACCCAAATCCTCTCAGTAATTTCTGCCTAGCAGGAATCCAGATTGCAGATGAGAGGTTTTGAAGCTAGGAGTGTGAAAAGCTGGAACCAGATGTTTACAGAAGAAAAGAGAGGAGGTAAAAGGGGTGGAAACCAAGAGCGATCCTGGAAGTTTTGAAGTAAGGCACATCTACTTGCAAACACAGAACTTTCAGTATTTTACAGATACAGTAATTTATACATTTTAAATACAGTATTAAACTTAACTGTGGAAGAAGCAGCCTGTTGCAAAGCTGAAAAATGAACTTCCGGTTCCTTAATTTCCCTAACTGTATTTTGGTATTTTGCCAAAAAACGTAGTACTACAAGCTCCATGGCATGATAACACAGCTTTGTCTGCAAGCATTAGCAGCCATTGCCCCTTTTTCATTTAGTTTAAAAAAAAAAAATACTGTAAGGTCACTGAAAATAAGCTCATCTTCAACATTAAAAATGAAATATCTATAAAGATGAGATTACACCCCAGAAAGTTAGAAAAACCATCTGTAAATCCAGACCTCCAGAAATAATCAGTGCATGTGCAGACTTCTAGACAGCTGTTCAGTTGTTCTTTTTTTTTTTCCTCCTTTTTTCTCCTTCAAGTCTCTCATAACGCTGTGTCATCATCTTCTCCAAAATCTCCCACCAGAAGTGAATGCTTGTCTGGTTCATTAAGAACTATGCTGTTCACTGAACGCTTGTCTGAAAAGAGAGAATTTATAGAGGCTCTGCTGTAGTTGATGATTCGATCCATTAAGCTCAGTTTAGGAGAGCCTGTCCCAGTTTCATCAATTCCAATATGGACACTAATTTCTGATGGACTCTTCTGTCTTATTTGGCCACGGGCCCGGAACTCAAGTTTCTCAGAACTTGGTTTCTGGTACCTAAGGAAGGAAACAAACAGAAGAACACAATACACCTCAGATAAAGTTCCTAAAACATGGAAAGAAACTGTGCTGTAAGTGCTATAATAATGCGCAATCAGCAGACATTTATAATTGACCCATTATGTAGTGCTGAAAGTTTCAGATTTCTCAAGACAATTCGTATAACCAGGAGCTAATTCAGGGCTTTTTGGCCAGGACACAGAAGAAAAAGTAAAAGCGAGGCAGACAAGTATCGTTCAGTATTTAACTGCTTCAGCAGTTGCTGAATACCTGCAAAATATACTGGTAAAATGTGTCTGCTGAGAGTGGACCACCGTAGCCAGCATATTACCAAGTCTACTCAGCTTCCTCTGAAGCCTACAACACGTAAGTTAAATAGTGAAACACCACTCCTACCCCAGGGCTACGCTCCTCCCAACCGTGGGGTGAGAAACGGTAACAGCACAACAAATGTAGCAGCTTGCTTTACTGCAACAATCCTAAGCGTTAGAAGAGTGGTGTTTGCAGCTGTCTTGCCTCAGAAGCTGCACTTTTCAGAGGAAGTCAGCAACGTTCTGACAAGATTTCTCAGAAATATACCAAGCGCACTATGGATTTTTAAATTCTGAACGCGTTCCCGCTTTCTGTATTTCTCTTCACGTTTAAAATAACATTTTTAAACGGTACTGTCCAAATTGTCATAGAGCACCCGACTACTCCTTTCAAGCAAAAACAAAACCTAAAGCAAATATCAAGTCCTGAGGGCAGCCAGTGCTAAGACAGACTTGCCTGAATTGTATTTTACCAACGCTTCGAAATCTGGCATAGCCCCACATTCATTTTCTGCTATTTAAAGGGAGAGATCTGAGCTTCAAAACCAAATAACAAGCCATAGAATTGCTCATACTCACATCTTTAATAGCAGAGAAGAAAGCACAACAGAAACAGAGGAGGCAGCCATTGCTGCAGATCCCATCCAGGGCTGCAGAACCAAACCAATGGGCAGAAAGACCCCTTGAAAAAGAAAACAGAGATGAGTTCATCAGGGCAAGAACATAGCATTCCTCCCATATGAATCCAATGCCTTATGTAAAAACACAAAGCTTCACATGAATTGCCTAAGTCTTAATTGTATTTCAACACATTAAATACACATGATTTTAGTTGAGTGTTAAATAAAAAACTGTGGTGAATACAGCTGAATGTGTCATTTACTACACAGTTCCTGTAATTTGGAGGGAGACGTATCTTGCCAGCCTTGCAGCAAACCATTTGTTCACAGGATCTAGGCCGTGTGTTTTATGGCTAATTCAATAAACAGTTGATCTTAAAGTGACTGTGATATGCTGATCATATCCATAACATGGGGAGACAACAGCTCAAAACTGTACCACTGCAATCTCTGCAGGTAAAGAACTCTGCACGTACCGTCAGTCAGACAAAGAAAATAGATACTATTCCATACAGTAGTTAACCACTGCCATCTCCTCACAAAGCATCATCTTATTATCACAGGGAAATATTTACGTACCAGCAGCTATGGGAACTCCAATAAGATTATAAATTAGAGCAAAGACAAAGTTGATCCGGATCCTTTTGACAGTCTTCCTTGATAAATCTATACTCGCTACCACATCCATCAAGTCGTCCTGCAAGTTGATACGTTTACGAGAAAAGTCAAACGGAAATAAAGGCACATATGCAGTGTCACCATACTCCTGTTTTAAAGCTAACTACCATACACTGGACACAACAGACTTCGTGTAGGAAGTATTCTGTAGGCTGCTCTAGTTTGCCCACACAGAGCCCAAAAACGAGCTTCAACCTTAGATGTGGACTCCAGATGTCACTATAATCCAAAAAACATACACAGCACCACCTGCTACAGCTCTAGAAAACCTACTACAATTTCTGTCATGGTATTCTTGAAGTATAGGAAGATGGGATTATAACTGAGGAGGTATTCTAGTATGCTACTATAATATAATTTGCATTTGTCAAAGGTCAGGTCACTTTTTTCCTCCCTCTTTCGCCCATTCTCAAACTTAAATTTCCAAACTATTTGTAATACCCAGAAAAAAAGATGGGCAAGCTTTCCTTCATAAGATGATTACTACTACTACTAAACAACAAGATAAAGACAATCTCTTCTCTGCTCCAGTTTTCCTGGCCTATGAAAGTAGTACACATCACCTCAGCAGTGATCCGAATCACTCGGGACATCCTTGGCCTACCTGCCCCGTCATTTCCCTTTAACAAAACAGCCATGTTTCTTACCTTAATTAGAACCACATCAGCTGCCTCAATGGCTACATCAGTGCCTGTGCCAATAGCAATTCCCACATTGGCCATAGCAAGGGCTGGGGAGTCATTGATACCATCTCCAACCATGGCCACTCGTTTTCCTTCGTCCTGTAACTGTTTCACTTTGGCTACTTTGTGGGAGGGAAGAACCTCTGCAAACACTTTGGTGATGCCAACCTAAAGACAGAGGAAGTACAAAACTAGCTATTAAAGCTTCCGCCTCTGAATTCATTTGCATGTGTGCATGCGTGTGTGTGTGTGTATTTAATAAACACCTTCAAGCATCATTTGGTAATATGACTATAAGAGTTGAAATCCATGTTATCACTCACGAACCAAACTCATCTGAGATCAAATTAGCTCTGACCTCAAAGTTGATGCTGCTTTAGTTCCCCTCTTATTCTGAATTTGTTTACATTAGCATGCCAGCTATGTCTCAGCCGCAAAGTGTACCAACAAGACAGTGTCTTTCATCCTGTTAAGTGGACTGCAGCAAGATTCAGACCCAAAGACATTCAAAACAGCTTACCTGAGAGGCAATAGATCTTGCTGTTTTGCTGTTGTCACCAGTCATTAGGACAACTTCTAATCCCATACTCTTCAAAGTGTAGACAGCCAGCTCAGCTTCTGGTTTCACAGTATCAGCAATAGCTATCAAGCCACAGAGCACCCCTAAAAGAACAAACAAAAACAATGCATTCCCTATAAAGACCTTTTATCACTCTAAGGGGAAAAAAAACAAACAAAACTTTCTTTTCAGTAAGACCAATTCCAGAAACAACCATACGGACACAGCTTTGGAGGTACGCAATGCAGAATGGGCACAGTCATCAGGGTATATTTAAGGCAATACTGAGAGTGGATTGTCCAAGAAAGAATTTCCCGTTTTCCTTTCTTCCTTTTTACTGTCCTTGAGGTCTTGCATTAAGTCCCACTCTCCTAATAACTACGGAAAAGCAGGAAGAGGCCTACCTCATTTGAAAATGTTAGAAAAATTCAGCTAATGCTCTCCTTTATTATTCTGCTGCAAGTTTAACTACTAAGGTGTCAAACGTCTCCCTCATCGCTCTCTATTTTGAATGGCACAAATCAGCCCCTGAATGAAGGGGGACAGCAATGAACTCACCATCAATAGCTGCCAGAACTGCTGTGCGACCTCTCCGTTCGTGTTCAATCATGGCTTTATCTACTTCACTTTTAACAACGAGGCCATTTCTATTCATCCATTCCCGGTTCCCAATGAGAACAGAGTATTTTTGAGAAGTCAAAGTAGCTGAAGGAAAAAAGTACAATTCCACCATCATACAAATAACGAGAAAGCTTCCCTCCAGCTAATCCTATCCAGGTTCTCCCAGTGGAATATCATCACAGGAAAACTAGGCAATAAAGATTTCTTTCTTTCTCTCCCGCTAATCTTTTCACAGGCTCTCGACAGGAAGGTACTGACAATTCCTCAGTAATAGATTTTTACCACTTGAGTTAGCCAAGAAC